GTGAGATTTGAACTGCTGAACTGCTGATCTAGCAGTAGCCTGCAGTGCTGCATTTAACCACTGCGCCACCTCGGCTCTGATAGATGTATACAGCCTGATAAATATACACACGCACCAAAGGCATGTGTATAAATGACAGTTATTAAGACAATTTAGAACTCAGTGAATAGGTTGATTTATAAAATCGATTTCTAATTGCATGTGATGAGTAGAGATAACCATGAAAGACGTTACTGGCTTTCGAGGAGAGAAACCTCATTGCCACCCTTAAGATTATTCATTTAATGTAAACATAGGTAAGAAGAAAACCTTGGTTATGTCAGAATAACACCCTGAGCCAGAATAAAGGGAAGTTGTAAGAGATTCTATTTGATTTCAGTTAATTCCCTTCCTATGACTAATTCATATTATTCAGTACATAATAGGACACATTTTAAAACAGTACTTTGTGTGGATTCCTGGCAACTGCCTGAACTGCTGAAGCCAAAAGACTCAATTTCACCCAGACAACTAAGTGCCAAAGGATTAAGACTTATAGACTAGCTCTCAAACAGTGCTGTATTTAAATTTTAGAAAGCTTACTTTAACTTCAAATGTTTTAAACACAATATTTTCAATGATGGATACAAGTAGAAAACTGAAGTCAAATAATAACCTGCTGCACCATCATATTAGCGTACTATTATATCCAGTTTGGTCTAGTGGTTAGGGCCCAGGCTAGAACCTGGAACGTTCTCCTTAGCCACGAAGCCAGCAGTTATCTGTAAAAATAAGAAAAGGTTGGTTATAAGTAAATAAAATAGTGATTTGTATATACTGGAAGTGACAAAAAGAAAAAAAAAACAGACAGGATCAACATAATAACTATAATAACAATATAAAATAAATTCAACCCTTATGCTTATCATTAGATGACAAAGTCATATTCTAAGTACCGTCCTTAACATTAGAGAGTAAGTTTCTTTCCCGTTGCCCCAATAGAGCTAAAGCTACTCATGAGATGAGAAAGTTCATATTTTAGAAATATGATTGAACATTGCATGGTTCCTTAACTGTAACATTTTTGCTCACGTTTTGACGTAGTGATTTAAAACCAAAACAAGGCTACAACTGGAAAGACCAGGTCATATGAATTAAGAAACCTTTAAATATTTTACAATGCCCACATTAAATATATATATATATATATATATATATATATATAATGATCATTCTTTGAGTGTCTAAATGAATTTGAAATAATATTTTCTAATTA